CCTTCCTTCCCTGGGTGGTCCCAATTCTCCCTATTTAAACCTCCTATTCCTTCAGTCGGGGTCTTCTTCGTGGTCCTTGTCTTCGTCTCGGCTCCAGCTTCGTCATCATCGTCCACGCAGCTTCATCCCCTCAGCACAAGCCATGGCTGTCCTGGGTATTGCTGTACGTAAGTAACTCATAGACATTTGTTATTTTTTTTTTCCTTTGGGCACTCATAAAGCATAAAACGATCCACACACTTTCACTTTTATGTCGACCCACCACTCCTTCACTCTTATTATACAAATAACAGTGCTTTGCCAGCAGCATTTACCCTCTGGTATTGTTGTGGAGGGTTTCTTTTGTGACTGCGCAGAAAGGGTGAGAGCAACTCAGACTTTTTGGTTTGCGTCAGGGCCTTAGGCCTTTAAAAGCGCAAACACCAAAACAAAAGACATCCAATGTGGAAGATGTAATAACTGGGACGTATTGCAGAACTTATTTGTGACGTACGTTGGAATGATTTCATCGGGTGACTACACCTTCGAATGGATCAACTTTATTGGTATTAATATCAGTGTGCTTGGCAGTATTCTGTATACGTATGCTGTATTTCAAGCAAAAACGATAAAAACTGCACCAAAAGAAACAGTAGAGACTAGAACTCCGTCGCTGTCCATTGCAGACAGCGATCAAAAGCCTTTGTTATGACAGTGCAGCCACTGAACCAGTGCCCATTTGTGCATTTTTGCTCTGCTTTTAAGTGCCTCTGCTTACGCTTTAAAGCAATAAACAAAAAATATCTTTGCTCGGTATGTGTAACAGAGCGCTTCCGTCTTGCACTACTCTAGGAAACATGGCAGCGCGCACCGAGAGACCGACAGGCACGCGCTAGTTGGATGCACTGTCGTATGAGTTTTGTTTTGGCTGTCTGTTCTAAGTAGCCCGAATCAAATAACTTACTATTCCTCCCATCCCTCATAATCAGCAGTGTCCTATTTTACAAGGAATGATTCCTTTTGATACTTCATACACCCGCTACTTTATCATCCCGTTCCTTCTTGTCACTGATGCAGCCGACAAATTCGTTTCTGGCCCTCTTATCCATGTAATAAGATAGAGATTCTCTAGTAAATCCTTGTATTCTTTCGGAATTGCGCAATTACCTTCAGTAACTCGCTTTGCCGTATATTGTCCACATTCTTCCCATCTCAGCACCGCAAGTCTTTTTTGAGTATACACTGTTCTAATAATATAGCTCACGCCAGATCAAATATGCTACACCATGCTGACGCCCTACCATGCTTTGTTCAGTTAGCTGGCTGGATCAGCGGTGCTGACTTTGTCCTCTCTGGCTTTGTTCAGTGTCGGATCATTCAAAACCTTCATTCAATTACATGATATTTAACATTAGCAAAGGGAGGGGCTGGCGTTCAACAACTGCAAGACAAATGATCTTAAAAACGATTAAGGAAAAAAGAAACTCGGTTAGCTCACCGTAAAACAAACAGTGCAACTAAGTTTAAGAATGAGGAGCATGCCGCGATCATATCGAAACAGAATAGACACACGCGAATCACTGGTAACGTGAAGCAGCAGTTTCTGTGGATGACTGAAGAGGAAACAATAAGAGAACACGTAGGCATTGTATAAAACATTGAAAGCTAAGAAATAATGCCAACGGGTGATTTATTAACGCGCCACAGATTTGAATGCATGGCAGCCGTCCGTTTATCTGATTATTCACCTTCCCCGGTTGTCGTTTCCTGAAGCACTCCCTGCCACACAACTACAGTGTGAAGTGGTCGGGAAAGACAGCGCTTTGTTCACAATCGACAGTAGTAAAGTATGGATGGAATTCGCACGTATG